AATATGTTCTGTTGTAAATCTATCACATTATCCAATGGATGGTGAAACAAGTTGCAACATTTTGTAAACATGGCACACCATTTTATGAATCAGGTGCTCATATGCAAGTTTCTTTGAGCACATTCCTAGGAAAGGTGTTGCTGAGTTTTAAGGAATCTGAATGTTCAGCTTTCAGATGAAATACCAAACTGCTATCCAAAAGGTGATTGTATAATTCACACTTCCAGCAGCAATGTGTAACAATTCCTTCTAACTCATATTCTCTCAAACCCTACTTCTTGAGTCAATTTTTGTCAAGGTACCACGTTTGCATTATTTTCCTCCCTCTAAAAAAACCATTTTTTTAAAACGACTTCAATCCTTTTAGCTACTTTATATTAAACTTGTCGTCGAAAAAATAAATCCAGTTGGAAACAGTTTGGAAAATGCAAAAGTCCAGCAGGTTAAGAGTACTGTCCTCTTTATACTGTTAGTTTCCCCTCCCCTGCAAGGACAGGCATAAGATAGCCAGGAGGATAAACAGTGACTATAAAATGAGTAGCATACCTCATGGTACATGTTACATGCTCTGCAAAGGTTAAATATTGTTATTGTTGTTGCTTATGATTACTCACATACATTTTTAATTAATTTTTATTGCTTATCCCAAGGCATTTTATTTTATTCTAAGAATGAGGGGCCAGGAGCAGCCACAAAATGAATGAGGTCATTTTGCCAATTCTTTTCTAACTGGCAATACTGCTTGCCTATCAGAAACCTAGCAATTTGAACATCTTTTTTTTCTTTTTTTTTTGAGACGGGGTTTCACTATGTTGGTCAGGCTAGTCTCGAACTCCTGACCTCACGTGATCCACCTGCCTCAGCCTCCCAAAGTGTGGGATTACAGGTGTGAGCCACTGCACCTGGCTTTTTGTTTTTTTTTTTTTTTCAGATGGAGTTTTGCTCTGGTTGCCCAAGCTAGAGTGCAATGGCACAATCTCGGCTCACCGCAACCTCCACCTCCTGGGTTCAGGCAATTCTCCTGCCTCAGCCTCCTGAGTAGCTGGGATTACAGGCATACACCACCATGCCCAGCTAATTTTTTTTGTATTTTTAGTATAGACACGGTTTCACCATGTTGACCAGGATGGTCTCGATCTCTTGACCTCATGATCCACCAGCCTCGGCCTCCCAAAGTGCTGGGATTACAGGCTTGAGCCACCGCGCCCTGCCCACTGTATGCTTCTGAAGGATGGATTTCTGAGTATCTTTTCAAGATCTTTTGCAGATTGCTAATCTATTGAAAATGTTTATTCTTGAGTAATTTATACTAACGTATATTTTCCTAATTGTAGAAAGCAGAAAAAGAACACTGACATACGTAATAGTATTTTACTTAGTATATATTAACATAATAAGGTAAATTATTTCTCTTCCAGAAAACAAACATAGATGATTGAATCCATATGTCTGCAAATACATTCAATTGTCAACACACCTGAATATCAATCTGGCTAATATAGAAATCTATATTCAAAATTTTTATCCCTCAAAATTTTGTCATTTTTCTTTTCTTTGAGACGGAGTCTTGCTTCTTTGCCCAGGCTGGAGTGCAATGGCATGATCTTGGTTCACTGGAACCTCTGCCTCCCAGGTTCAAGTGATTCTCCTGCCTCAGCCTCCCCAGTACCTGGGATTACAGGTGTGTGCCACCACGCCCGGCAAATTTTTGTATTTTTAATAGAGACAGGGTTTCACCATGTGGGCCAGACTGGTCTCAAACTCCCAACCTCAAGTAATCGGCCTGCCTCAGCCTCCCAAAGTGTCAGGATTACAGGCGTGAGCCACTGTGTCCGCTGTCATCATTTTTTCATCACTCCCATCTTCAATGAAGACAAATACGTATTATTTCATGAAATATTTAGTAGGAGGCCACTCTGCGCAGCACTCTTCAAGGCACCGGAGATAAAGCGGTCAACAAAGCAGACAAAAGATTCCTACGCTCTGGTGGAGGTGACATTCTAGCCATGAAGGAGAATGGGTGATCAACAAACAAATACTGTACATAATGACAATATATAGTGCAAGACACTGGTAAGTGCAAAGTAAAGTGAACCCAGGAAAAGAAGAGGGGAGCTGCATGGGTGGTATAGAAGAGTGCTTAGGGTCTTATGGTACTTTACAGGGAATGGGCAAGTTACAGTTCTACAGTTCTAAGCAGTAGACTCTGCTCTCTGGTTTCCTTCTTCTGTATCTCATTTATCTTCACCACCCTGTTAACATTGTGATACTTTCAGACTTTTCTTTTCTTTTTTTTTGAGACGGAGTTTCGCTCTTGTTACCCAGGCTGGAGTGCAATGGCGGCGTGATCTCGGCTCACCGCAACCTCCGCCTCCTGGGTTCAGGCAATTCTCCTGCCTCAGCCTCCTGAGTAGCTGGGATTATAGGCACGCACCACCACGCCCAGCTAATTTTTTTGTATTTTTAGTAGAGACGGGGTTTCACCATGTTGACCAGGATGGTCTCGATCTCTCGACCTTGTGATCCACCTGCCTCGGCCTCCCAAAGTGCTGGGATTACAGGCTTGAGCCACCGCGCCCGGCCTCAGACTTTTCTTTTTTGTCCTTTATTATCTCAGGTGGACTTTAATATTTTGTCCAATTATAGCTAATTTTTAAAGTACAATTTGCAGCAGGCACTATGGTGAGGGAAGTGGGGAGGTATGTAGACTGACCAAAAAATCCTGGTTATGCTGCTTACTAATTTGGTTATCTCAGGCAAATTATTAAACTCTGGGTGCCTTGGTTTCCTCATCTGTAAAAATGAGAATAAAAGCAAGTTCTCATTTCATTTCATTCTAAAGGTTAAATATTTAATGTAAAGTGCTCAGACGCCAAACATTAAAGTTTACCTATATTTTTCTTCCATGTTTTTATTTTATTTTTTTGAGATAGGGTTTCACTTTTGTTGCCCAGGTGGTGTGCAATGGCAAGATCTGGGCTCACCGCAACCTCCATTTCCCAGGTTCAAGTGATTCTCTTGCCTCGGCCTCCCAAGTAGCTGGGATTACAGGTGTGTGTCACCATGCCTGGCTAATTTTGTATTTTTAATTTTTAATATAGACGGGGTTTCACCATGTTGGTCAGGTTGGTCTCAAACTTCTGACCTCAAGTGATCCACCCTCCTCAGCCTCCCAAAGTAAGCTACCGGCGCCTGGCCCTTCCATATGTTCTTACCAGAGCTTAAATATTACTATTCTACCTTCCCGTAGTCTCACTTCTTCACAGTGGGTTGTGACTTCGCTGCAATTCCTTTGCAAGATAATTCAGAAATACCTTAAAAGCCAGTGAGCGGATCATCTGAGGTCAGGAGTTCGAGACCAGCCTGAGCAAGAGGTGAAACCCGGTGTCTACTAAAAATACAAAAACTAGGCAGGCATGGTGGCACTCGCCTGTAACCCCAGCTACTCCGGAGGCTGAGGCAGGAGAATCCCTTGAACCCTGGAGGTGGAGGTTACAGTGAGTTGAGCTCGTGCCACTACATTCCAGCCTGGGTGACAGTGAAACTCTGTCTCAGAAAAAATAAAAAAATAAAAAGCCAGGCTCAATATATATTAACACTTACCAATGCTACAAAGAATCCATACATCCCGATTTCATTCTTTCAATGAACCAACATTACCTCAATCACACTTCCCAATTTGTTTGGTTTAAAGAAAAAAAAAAAAATCTAGAAAGCTGAAGTTAAAAATAAAGAGCACTCTCTTAGTTAAGCAGTGAGGGGAGACTGAAAATCACAGGGAACTTTTAAGGATCAATAGTTTTTGACAGTTATCCTAAAAAAAAGCATAAAAGATGAGCACCACATTGGTAAAGAGCCCTTAACTTACAGTGTTGGGAGACAGAGAACAAAAGGAAGGAGGTAATATTTTCATAACGAATTGTTCATTATATTAACGTTGCCAAAGAGTCCAACTACTCATTCAGTGTTGAATGACAGGAATTTTTACTTGCTTACTAAAATTTAGGTATCATAAGAAATATTTATTAAAATAATTTTTTAACTGGAGGTCAGACAGCTTTAGGGAAAAATTAGGGCGACTAGGTGATCAGAAAAAGAGCGCTAATCTACAGAACAAAGACTCATTTCTTTTTCACTACTGAATAAAAAATGTAAAACAAAGCAACAAAAAGACCAAGACTTTCAGTACAAGCATCATGCAACGTCTCTTCCATTTCTGTCCATCTCGTTGGGGAACGTCATGCGAACTACGCGGCAGTCCCTATCGTCCCATTTCAATGTCTCTAGGGTTATTTCACTCCTTCTTCAATGATGGTGAACCCACGGTGTAAAATGAAAAGACAACCTTCAAGCTCAGTATAGCAATTCTTATTTTATCAGCCTTAGTCGGAAATCTGATTCGAAAACCTCAAGCTCCGATCCCCATAAATCGCTCCTTCCTCCCAGCAACTTAAGCTGCCGTTACCGCTAAGTCCGGCTCGGCCCCAGAGACAGCGACGCGCTGGACAGGGCATTCCAGCCTCACCCCACATCACCTCGGCCTCTCCTCCCACGGCCCCTCCCCGCTCTGGCTGTCTTCACCTCCCACACCTCGGTCGAGGCGCTCACTGCCACCCGCGATCAAAAAGGCTTTCCCTTTGGGGAAAGGAGGAGATATAGGTTTATTTCTGGAAGAATCTGCGCGCCCGGAGCGCGGGGCAGCCGCAGGAGGAGGGAGGAGAGAAGAGTCGGGAAAGGGGCGGGGAGCTCAGCACTATCCATCAAGATGTTAGCGCTAGGAGATCGCAAAGTCGCCTTTGGGCCTGCACTGCAGCCTAGAAATTCTCTCGCACTCCGGACTGAGGTGGGAACGTGGACTCCAGGGTCCCAATGATGAGGATGAGACCGGAGCTCCCGACTGCCTCGGTCCCGAGGGGGCGGGAAGTGAGAGGAACAAAGCCAGGGCCACTCATGCCCTGGGATGGCCGGGCGACCCAGAGGGACCCGGGAGGCCCCCTTACCTGCCGTCAGCAGCTGCATGGCGTGAGTGAAGGACGGGTCGAGTGAGTCCTTCTCGGCCATGAGTTCGGGCAGGTACTTGTTCTCCGGCTCCATCTTGACCGAGGCTGTGGCTGAGGGGGGCAGCAGCGGGGTCGGAGCTGGCCCGCCCACTGTCGCGTCGGGACCCGTGGCCGAAGGCGGCAGCAGCGGTGGTGGCTGCGTGGCGGGCGAAGCGCGGGCGCCCCCGCGGGATCCCCCTCCGCCTCCCCGGGACCGGTGAGGCAGCGGCGGCTGCCGAGACGGCGTCTGACGCACCGAGGGGTGGGCACCTGAGGGGTCCATGGAGCCGCTGCGGCCCGAGGACCGGCTCATGCGCGCGGCGGGGTCGTCCCGGCGCTGCATCGGGGAAGATGTGCGATCGAAGGAGTGAGAAAGCGACGCGGTAGCGGCGGAGGCCCGGGCGGCGGTTGGCGGGGGTGGGAGAGCGGGAGCGGCAGCGACCGAAGCCGACCCTAGCGACCCAGCGAGAGAGAGCACCGGAAATGAGGCGGCGCGCGTGCGCAGCCAGTCACCGGCACCGCCCTTGGGTTTCTCCGCGGAGAACAAAGTCCCCAGTCCAGCCACGGCGCCTGCGCACCACCGCGCCGTACGAAGAAGTCGCCTCCCGACTCCGGCTTTCCCTCCGCGCCCGCCTGGCCAGAATTTGGCGCGCATGCGCGGGAGGCTACCGGCCCCGTTCGTTTCCTTTTCCACGTGACTAGGCGCTAGCGGGACACGTGGGTCCTCCCCCTTCTGGTCCAGTGGGCGGAGGGGGCGGGGGCTGTGGAATGTCTTTGTCTGCGCGCGGGCCCGCGGAGTGTGGGGCGGGAGACCTGTTACTCGCCGGGCCCCGCCCTCTCCAACGGCCGAACGGCGGGGAGATAGGGCGCCATGGGGTGGGGTGGGGAGGGAGTGGGATGGGGGCGGTCACTGAAGTGAGAAACTAAAAGGAGACTACCGTGGGGGACCCGGAAAAGGGAGGGAGAGAGGAGGGGGAGAGACAGAGACTGCACAGGGAGAAAGGAAGACTAAGGGAGAGTCTGATGACGAAACTAGCGGGGGAGATGGGGAAGGGAAACCTGGAGGGAGAAATTGAGGAAGGACGGCTCGGTGGAAACACTAAAGGCTATTGGAGGACTTGAACTAAGAGGGAGGGTTCGGATCAGAGACTTGAAGGCTAGCAAAGAAAAGGGCCCCAGACAGCAGGGAACACGAGAAGTCGTTTCCAGTATTAGATATATATATTTCCAGTATTACATATATTGCAGTCGGTTCTAAAACGGTTGCCATTGCTGGTCAGGGAAATCTTAAAAGAAGCAGCATTTTAGCTCTTTTTACATATTTTACTGCTTTCTGTGACTTACGTTTTGTTTCGCCGTCATTATTGCCAATTAAATGTTTCTTCCGTCAAAAAGTGGTCTAGAGACCAGATGCCTTAATCGACGTTGGTTGCATCATTAGGATGGCTCCTTCTGCCGTTCCAGACTGGCTCAGAGAGACCCTTGCCATTACTCTCAAGGCCAAGGCACATACATAGTGGACAGTCTTCGACGGCGTTCTCCACATCCTGGAGTGCTATATGCAGGTGGAGCCTTAGGTTCCTACTTGTCCCATAAACCATCAAAAGCCTAGTGCCCTAATTTTTCCTTAACTCCACAGATTTTTTCCTTCTCTCATTTAAAGCACTCGAGACTCCCATCTCTTTTGCTTCTGGATCATTTCTCCTATTGAGCCCACACTTTTCAAAAGTCTTTGGGGACGGGTGCATTGGCTCATGCCTGTAATCCCAGCACTTTGGGAGGCCTAGGCGGGAGGATTGCTTGAGGATAGGAGTTTTAGGCCAGCTTGGACAATATAATGAGACCTCATCTCTACAATTAAAAAGTTTCAGGCCAGGCGTAGTGGCTCACGCCTGTAGCCCAGCTACTCAGGAGGCTGAGCAGGAGAATCGCTTCAACCCGGGAGGCAGAGGTTACAGTGAGCCAAGATCGTGCCACTGCACTCCAGCCTGGGCGACTCCATCTCAAAAAAAAAAAAAAAAAGTTTATTTGGAAGTTGTCTTTTGAGTACCTGGAAACTGTTGATTTTTGTATGTGAAACTTAGAACCCTTAGAGAACATAAAGGCCTTCTTCAGGTTAAGGGAGAGGATTTACCAAGTTATCCACAGAAATGAAAACACATATCTATATATATGTGTGTGTGTATATATGTATCTCCAATGTCTGGTGGAGTACTTTGAGGTCCCAAGAATTGACTCGTCTTCAGTCAAATAGGAATAAAAATATTTTTGAATAATTGTAGTGAATGAAATATGATAAATGTCAAAAAGACAAAAAGATACTTGAAAATTAAGTGCAGGCCAGGCACAGTGTCTCATGCCTATAATCCCAAGGAAGGAGGATCGCTTGCATCCTGGAGTTTGAGGCCAGCTGGGCAACATAGTGAGTCCTCCTCTCTACAAATAATAACAAAATTAGGCCGGGCGTGGTGGCTCAAGCCTGTAATCCCAGCACTTTGGGAGGCCGAGGCAGGTGGATCACGACGAGGTCGAGAGATCGAGACCATCCTGGTCAACATGGTGAAACCCCGTCTCTACTAAAAATACTAAAAATTAGCTGGGCATGGTGGCACGTGCCTGTAATCCCAGCTACTCAGGAGGCTGAGGCAGGAGAATTGCCTGAACCCAGGAGGCGGAGGTTGCGGTGAGCCGAGATCATGCCATTGCACTCCAGCCTGGGTAACAAGAGCGAAACTCTGTCTCAAATAATAATAATAATAATAATAATAATAATAATAATAATAATAAAATTAGCTGGGTGTGGTGGCGTGCACTTGGTGTCCCAGCTACTTGAGAGACTGAGGTGGGAAGATTGCTGCTTGAGGCTGTGAGATTGAGGCCGCAGTGAGCCACGATTGCCCCACTACACTCAGCTTGGATGAGAGTGAGACCTTGTCTCAAATAAAATGAAGGCCAGTGCAGTGGCTCACTCCTGTAATCCCAGCACTTTGGGAGGCCAAGGTGGGCAGATCACCTGAGGTCAGAAGTTTGCGACCAGCCTGGCCAATACAATGAAACCCCATCTCTACTAAAAACACACAAAAAGTTAGCTGAACATGGTGGTGTGTGCCTGTAATGCCGGCCACTTGGGAGGCTGAGGCAGGAAAATCACTTGAACCTGGGAGATGGAGGTTGCAGTGAGCTGAGTTGTGCCACACTGCACTCCAGCCTGGGCAACAGAGTGAGACTTCATGTCAAAAAGAGAAAAGAAACGAAAAAAATTAAGTGCTATTGGAGTTCAATGCAGAAGATAGATTTTGGCCAAGGGAGAATAAGTTCCGGGCAAAGGGAAGTGCAATAAATGAGCAGAGATGAGAATGTGAGAAATGTGTTCAGGGAATGGGAGTAATCCAGTGTCAAACGTGAAGGAATAGGTGAGTTGAGAGAGCAACTGCATGAAGAGGGGAAAGGGGCAAGGAGGATTTATACTTCCCGTGCAACTCATTTCCACTGCTGCCCTTGAAGAGCCTGCTTGAGTGGTGGTGTTACAAATAGCTGAAGTGTCCTTGCTCCGTAATGAGATGCCCAAATAGAGATCCCTTGAGCTGAGGCTAATAAAACTTTGATAAAGGTGTGCCTGAGAAGGAGCTGAGTAGTGGCGTTTATGGCCCTTCTAGACTAGAATCAACAGCTACTGCATATGTATATCAAAACATGTTGTAGCCATAGCTATATACAATTTGAAAATACTGGCAACAAAACAAAAAATAACCCTTAGTCTTTCTGGGTGCTTGCCAGACCTTTATTTGCTTTCCCTGAGAGTAGGGCTGAGCAGGGAGAGATGCACTCTTCTTCCAGGTGAGAACCCTAAAGGTAATATCAGGCCATGAGTGGTTGAGGTTGCAGTGTATGTACCAACTAAATGATGCAGCAGCTTCTATTTTGGGGGCCCTTCTCAGGGGGTAGGGAAGAGTAATTTCTGCCCTGAGAGCCTAGAAGTCTGAAGTTTAGTTTGTTTTGACCATTGTATGCTGCCCTGGATCCACCTGAAGGTTAACAGCCTTGTGAAAAGACTGACTTTGGAGTGAGGCAGCTTCAAACAACCTGGCATTGCCTTGTCCTCACTGTGTATTATTTGGAAAACCTCCGAAACTTAGTTTCCTCTTCTGTAAAGTGTGGTAATGAGATCTACCTTGAAGGCTTGTGAAAATTTAACAAATACCAGTGTAAACCTCCTGATAGTAGGGTTTGTAAACCAAAGGAATCATTATTATGCCGTTTCGTGCCTGATGAAGATTTTTGGGTGCTTAATACTGGCTGTGGATCTGAAAGTCCTACTCTAATCTGTATCATTTTCACTGAGTATAGCTAGGCTTATTTTGAGGGGAAGAGGAGGTTCCAAAAAGAGAAAGTTTATTCTACCCTTAATCCATTTGCTATAGTGTAGGGTATAGCAGCAGTGCATAATAGTTCACACAGATGTCAGTAGGCTCTGCCTCTTACCTACTGAATGATTGAGTACAGTGCTTTGCTTTGCTGCATTAGTCAGGATTCTTCTTTTTTTTTTTTTTTTTTCTTTTCTTTTTTTTTTTTTTTTTAATGGAGTTTTCACTCTTGTTGCCCAGGCTGGAGTACAATGGCGTGATCTCGGCTCACTGCAACCTCTGCCTCCTGAGTTCAAGTGATTCTCCTGCCTCAGCTTCCCAAGTAGCTGGGATTACAGACATGCCCCACCACGCCTGGCTAATTTTTTGTATTTTTAGTAGAGATGGGGTTTCACTATATTGGTCAGCTGGTCTTGAACTCCTGATCTCATGATCTGCCCGTCTCGGCCTTCCAAAATGCTGGGATTACAGGCATGAGCCACCGCGCCCAACTAGTCAGAATTCTTTTGAGAGACAAAATACGTACGGTATATAGTTAGATATAGACATTTGAGAAGGGATTTGTGAGGGCAGTTGGTTCACAATTAGGATTATTGAAGCTGAGAAGTCCCATTGGAGGCCTTCTGCAAGCTGGAGACCTTGGAATGCCAGTGGTGTGGCTAAGTCCAAGTCTGAGATCCTCAGAACCAGAGAAGCCAGTGGTGTGATTCTCAGAGGCTGAAGGCCTGAGAACCCAGGGGCTACTGGTGTTAAGTCTTGGAGTCCAAAGGCTGAAGAGCCTAGAGATCTAATGTCTATGGACAGGAGAATAAGAGTGTCCTAGCTCCAGGAGAGACAGGAAATCCCTTCTTTGCCTTTTGTGTTAATTCTGGGTCCTAGCCCATTAGATGGTGCCCGCCCACTTTGAGGGTGGATCTGTACCACTCAGTCCACTCACAGGCCACTCTCATTTGGGAACACAAAGACACATCCAGAAATAATGCTTTACCAGTCCCCTGGGTATTCCTTAATCTAGTGAGGTTGACACCTAAAATTAACCATCACACTAGCTCAGATTCCTCTTCCTTCTCCTTGATAAAACAGAGGAGATAACAATGCCTGCCCCAGGGCTATTAGGGTTAGTGGTTAAAGCACAGTGGATGGCAATTAGTAGGTGCTTGATAAGCAGTGTTGACCATTGTTATGATCACCACACACATTTATCGAGTACCTTACTGCAGACTTTCACTTTCACATGAATCCCTAAGAGAAAGGCTAGAAGATTGAAGTTTG